GTACGACGACGACGAAGAGAAGTAGTAGTAGTAGTAGTACGTAAGTAGGTACGGTAGGTACGGTACGTAGTATCATACGTATAGAGAGAGTATATATATATATATATATATATATATATATATATATATATATATATATATATATATATATATATATATTTCCCCGCCCCTCCACGAGAGCAGCGCCTCCTAGAGCTGTGCAAGGAGGCAGCTCCGGAATCGACACCATCAACTGCTGAATCACTCCAGGGCAACTTGGCAGTTCAAGGTCACAAATAAAGCTTCCTCCATTTCAGACGAAATGCTGTGGATACAACAGCTAGGCTGATGCGCATGACTTAGCGTTCTTCGCAGAAGATACAAATACATCCCTTGGCCTGTAGAGGCTGGAGCAGGATCTTGCAGGATCTCAGATACTGATGATAGAAAGAAGTGGAGTGAGGAGGGAGGGATAAAGCCGGAGTTTGGGATTAGCAGACACAAACTACTATATATCAAATAGATAAACAACAAGGTCCTACAACTACCTTCAGTATCTTGTAATAGCCTAAAATGAAAAAGAATATATATATAAATGTATAACTGAATCACACAAGAAATCAACACATTGTAAATCAACTATACATCAATTAAAAAAATTTTTAAAATGAAGTGAAGCAAATATGGCACGTCCCTGCCTAACTTTGCTGCCTGGCTAGTGAATGACCTTGAATCTCAGCATGCTGGCCTGACTGTGGGTCTGTCTCTTGGTGACTAGTTTGCTAGAGCCCAGAACACAGACAGGAGGATAAAACCCCTGGGGAGATGCATGCCGACAATGAGCAATAGTCTGGAAGGCTTGTCAGCAAATCTACTTGAGGAATTCGACTTATAACAGAAGGGAAATTTTGAGGAAAAGACACATTTGGTTCAAACCCCGGCTCTGTTATTTGTTCCCTGGATGAGCTTGGACAGGTAAGGCACCCCTTTTGGCCTCAGTTTTTACATCTCTAAAATGGACACAAAAATAGTTACACCCTCACAGTTTAATGTGCAGTAGCTTGACTGGGCAATGATACCTCATGTCGCAGAAGGTTTGCAATAATCATCAGATGTGGAAGTCTGCTCATTGCATTAATTTGCTCACTCAGCAAGCACTTATTGAGGACCTAGGCACTGTTCTGGGCCCTGAGGACACAGCAGAGCCTTGTAGGCTTTGCTCCAAGTAAGGTGGGAGCCACGGGGGAAGGGGGCGGCGGAGGAGGGGGTGTGTGTTCTAAACAGAGGATGGCCTGAAATGACTCAGGTGCCCAAACCCGCCCTCTGGCGGCGGTCGAGGGGAACACACTGTGGGAAGGAGGGCGGAAACTCAGAGACTTGGGAGGAGGCAGCGAGGACAGGGGCTGGACCTGGAAAGTGGTGGTAAGTGATCAGGTTCTGAATGATCTCAATGGTGGATGGGCCCTGCCTGCCATCTTCTCTCGAGGAAGGACAGTTCCAGCCGAGTGGCTGAGTATTCTGAATATAATCCAGAATCTTTCAGTGCTTCTTGATTTATTCCACTCTTTACCAGAAGCTAAGATTCTGATAGGCTGAGGGCGTAGAAATTCCAGATATTTAAGTAGAGAAAAAGAGAATCTTGGAGAGCAGTGAGTATCCCCTACAGGACAAGGGCCTGCCTCCCTGTCACCCCCTAACCCACAGGCTCTCAGCCCTCAGAGCAAGCATAAAGACTCAAAAATAAGCCAGAATGTAAAAAAAGATGAAGCAAAAGGATTTTAAAAACTATTAAGACAAACAAAAAAATCCCTAATGGTGGAAATGCTTTTCGTTTCCTTTTTAGTTGGCAGCAATGATTGTCACTATGATCCTTTACTATCTTGTCAAAAATTTCAGCCCATGATGCTATGACCTGGTGACACCCATGCCTCCATCCCTGTGAAAGGCTGAGGTCCATGGCCTGGGAGCCCCAGAGCAAATGAATAATGTCAAGGAAGTGGACCAGCCACACCCTGAACAGGCACCTTTCTCTCCTGTGCTCCAGACTTTTCTGTTGGATGGTAGATTCTGATTTGACACCTCCTCCTTCAGTGATTGCTACTAAAATACCTTAAACCGTAAAATCTCCCCTTGTCAGGGGTGGATCCAGGTTTTGTGGGGACTTAACACACAAGTATATCAATGCTACTAATTTTACATGAACAATCGGCCAAGCGAACCTATCTCCTGAGCCACCTGTTGTTGCTGTTGGTGACAAGTACTCCAATTTAAGGACAGTTCATAGATCAACATGGGTTATTGACATAAATAGTCTGTGTGTGTTTAAGACATATCGTTTTCTTGGAAATCGTATTTTTAAAAAAAAATCTCCTAAAATAAAAGGAGACCAAGGCATGTGGAGAAATACACTAGGACTCTCAGTACACCCTAAGCCCTATAATTACGGAAATACTGGAGTGGCTCTTCTGTTTTCTACAGTGGTATTTCAATGTCCTCCTAATCGCTCTGTAGCGCCACTTCAAGAGGAGCTTTTCACTGTTTTCTAGAACCTTTGATCTGCTACAGATAAATTGCACTGGTTTTCTGCATGCTTTTTTTTTTTGCCACATGTCTTGTATTTGCAATTGGCCGGATGCCTGCACTATTCTGTCTTTTCGCATCAATTCAATGGTTGTGTTGGGAGGCTTTGGGGGTGGGTCTTGCCTCTCGTTTCCTCACACTGTCAGGCTGAGCGGCGGCTCTCGGGGACGGCTCCACATTTGGATATGCCTCTGGCTGGGGGACGCCGGAGTCAGGGCGAACGTAGGGCCGTGCTTCCTCTGGTGGCCGCCAGGGGGTGCGCGAGGCCGGGACCTGGGCCTCTGCCTTGGCGGTGACGCTGGGGCGGGGCTGCCTGGGGGCGGGTCTTCGGAGGGGCAATGCAGGCACAGGGTCCTGCTTTCTCTAGTTCCCGATGGGGCTGCTCGCCTCTGAAGGTAGGCGCTCTACCCTGCCCCTAGGTCCACACCGCTCTCTGCCTCCCACCCTCCCTGCCCTTATCTGTCCTGCATTTTCCCACCCTCCTTTACGCCACCCCTCTCCTGAACTGCTTTGCCCCCATTTTCTCACCCTCCTTTGCCTCCCCATTTTTGGGCCTGAAGGACCTCTAGCTTTGAGTTTCCTTATTTCAAATGACCTTTTAGAGAAAGATGTGAAAGGACACACTTCTAGCTGTGAATGTGGCCTGTGGTCCAGGGAGAAGATAGTCACTCCTCCGTGAAAATCTTGCTTAGTTCCCCATGTCCTAAGAAGCAGGCAATTTGATAAACATTTGTTAAATTAATTCAAGTGGAAATTAAATCTCACTCCTCCTCTCCTTCCCTAGGGGCCCTTGGTGTCTACATGCACATTGTTGCCCTGAAATGCCCTCTGTTATCATATCAAGAGAGGCCCAGTGATCAATGATTTGTGGGCTCAAGGACAATATCTTCACCAGCTGTGGCTGAGCTGGCCTCAGATGGAGAAAGAGCAGAGCTGGGGAGGGATCAGAAGTTCCCAACTTCATGTCACTCTTGGAGCTCCGAAGTCCAGCCTTGGCCCTGCTTCCTGTGTGGCCTTGGTCAGTTACCTTGGCCTCTCTGAGCCCTGTGAGAAGGATGAGCCAGTGAACTAATGTGTAGGCAGGGCCTTGGGGAACCTGATGGCTCAAACCTCGATTCCTGCTTCATGGAACCTCTTCATTCATTCATACTATAGCAGTTTCTTGAGCTTTGGGAACACAGCCATAAAGGGGAGCTCCCAGGCCCCTGTTCACTTGGAGTCCCAAGTATAGCAGGGGCATTGACCACACGAGTAGTCAGTGTTGAGTGCTGTGCCCACAGGACCTGAGTGGCATCTGGAGGATTCCAGAGCAGCACACTGTGCCTCTTCTCCACTGCTGGCGTGGCCTATTTGGAGGATGAGGAGCCAGCAGGGTGCAGTTTGGGGCACCTGCTTCCCTGGCACAGGGAGCCTTGCTGCAGCATCCGACTGTGGTGTGATAAAGGCTTATGACTGAAGAGGGGCAGCCGCTGGGCTCCTCACCTCTCCCTGGCAGGCGATCAGGCAGCCAGGGGCAAGAGGGGCAGAGAAAGACAGCTTTGGTGCCCCCCACCCCAGACCTCTACAGTAGCTCAGAGGTTTAGGACGATGCTGACTTAAGTAGTCAGGGCACCCCAGTCTGGCCAACATGGCTGAAATGCACACTCTGTATTATTCCTTGAAGAAACTGTTATCTTTCTTCAATGGCTACGTGGCTGTAAGTATGTCACAACCCAGGCCCTGGGGCTTTGCAGCCCTTCCTCCACGGCTGGCTCCTTCAAAGACAGAAATAAGTTGATCCAAATTCACTGGCACCCGGACCTGTGGTCCTCAGGGAAGCTGAAGGGATGTAGGGCAGACTGACGCGGAGCAGAACACACTGGGAACAGGTGTGGCCTCCATCGACCCAGAGCTGGTGACATCAAGCCCAGGGGAGTGTGACCTGGGGGGCCTGGGGTCTGCGGTGGAAGAATTTGGTTCTAAGGCAAATCCTGCAGAAAACGACATTGTTTGGGAAGGCAGGCGGGAATGATTCCTTTCTTGGTCTTTTCCATTTTTCAAATCCTTTTTTTTTCCTTTCTCTAAAAGTAACCTGAAATGTGCACTGTTAAAGAAATCATTGTTTTAATAGTAAAACAGTACGAGGAAAGGCTGCCAGGAAAGAGAAGGAAATTAAATCTCACTCCTCCTCTCCTTACCTGCGCTGTACCGTTTTGATGGGAATTAAGCAGGATAATGCATTTAAAGGGCTTGTGCCTGTTCTGGGAACATTGCTCAATGAATATCATCATTACACCCTCCCAGACTTTTCTCTGTACCTTTTAAAAACAGCAAAACAACATGGGATGCTATTGCTTAACAAATCTCATTTTTTTCTTTTTTAAAAAATAGTTTTCTTCCTTTTAAAGAGACTGTATTTTTGAAGAGTAGTTTTAGGTTCACGACAAAACTGAACAGAAGGTACAGAGAGTTCCCGTGTAAGCCCCTCCCCTCCCACGCACAGCACCCCCATTATTCACATTCCCCAGCAGAGCAGTGCCTTTGTTATCATGAACCTACATTGATAATCATTATTACTCAAAGTCCATTAGGGCTCACTTGGTGTTCTACATTCTAGGGCTTTTGACAAATGCAGCCACCATCTCAGCATCACATAAATAATTTCACTGCCGTAAAAATCCTCCACCCATCATCCCTCCCTCCCCGCTAGCCCCTGGCAACCACTGATCTTTCTGCCTCCGTAGGTTTGCCTTTTCCAGAATGTCGTGTACTTAGAATCATAAACCATGTAGTCGTTTCAGATTGGCTTCTCCCACTCAATATGTCTACGTTTCCTCTGTCTCTTTCCGTGGCTTGATAGTTCATTTCTTTTTAGTGCTAATATTCCACTGTCTGGATGTACCACAGTTTATTTAATCCATTCCTGTGCTGAAGGCCATCTTGGTGCCTTCCAACTTTTGGCCATAATGGATAAAGCTGCGAGAAGCATCTATGTGAAGGTTTTGAGTGAACGTAAGTTTTCAACTCTGTTAATAAACACCAACGAGCATAATTGTGGACAGTCTACTTTCTTTTTTGGGGGAGGGGGGTGTAATTAGGTTTATTTATTTATTTATTTTTGGAGGGGAGGAGGTAATTAGGTTCATTTATTAATATTATTATCTTAAATGGAAGCACTGGAGGTTGAACCCAGGACCTCATGCATGCTGAGCACGTGCTCCACCACCTGAGCTATACCCTTCCCCACCGACAGTCTACTTTTTAAAAAACTTCAGGCCTTAAAAACATCTTTTTGTATCAATAAACATTCTCCTACAACAGGAGTGAGCGAAGTACAGTCTTGTAAGTCGCGTCTTTCCATGGCTTGACGTCCCATCCAGTCCTCCTCTGTCTCCACTAGTTTCTGTTATGCTTGGGTCTGTTCTGGGCACACTGTTGCCTGGTGGCAATGTAGGAGAATGTTTCTCCACGTCCTCCTCGCCAACTCAGGGTATTATCATTTTTGAAACGTTTTTGCTGATCTTATTGGCCTTTGTTCCTCCTTTCCTTTCCGCTGGGGAGAGGCCTTCTTCGTACGCAGCTGTTGGATCACTTTTCCCTGTCTGTTTGCTGTCCTGCAGCTCCCTGGCGTGATCCTCATCTGCCTGGACACCTCTGTCACGTTCCAAGCGGTGGTCGTCTGCATGCCTGCTTCACGCTGACTGACTGTGCCTGGTGAAGGGCTGCCTCAGGCGCCGCTTGGCTTTGCCGGGTATTATGGAGCAACCAAAGACAGCAGAGGCACCCTCTTGTTTGTAAGTTGCCCACAGCCCCCCCTCAAACTCCCATGTCTTCGTCATGTCTGAATCCTTCCTTGCACACATTGCATACTCCTTCGATTGTCATTTCCTGTTTTACAGTGTTAACCGTGTCGTTTGATGCATGGCATCCAGCAAATCCACCTTTTCCTTTACGATGTGTCTCATGTAAAACTCCCGTACCCAAGTGCATACATTACACTCTCTTAGGTTTTCTTCCCGTTAATTTTTAAGTCTTGCTTTCTCACTCTTAGCTCTTTATTGAGAGTTTGATCGTTTGTGTGTGTGGTGTGAGGTAAGGGTTGGATTTGGGTGTTTTTTCTTCCCCAGCTGTATGACATATTGTTGCGCTGACTGACTGGCTCATCCAGTCCTCCTCTGTCTCCGCTAGTTTCCGTTATGCTTGGGGCTGTTCTGGGCACGCTGCTGTGTTCCATCAGTACATGTGTATGTCCCCTAAGACCACAACACTATGGTAATTGCCAGACATGCACAGTACATGTTTAAACACATGGGGTGTGTATTTCAAGCATGGTCACGCAGTTGTTAGCATGTCACAGGTTTTATGTGTCTCACTCATTCTCATACACAGCTATGACCAGACATCTCCCCAAAGTCCAGCTCCCAGCATCCCCATTCCTATTTCCCTTGGAATTGTGTCTGAGCTGATCATCCCATCCTAAATTTGATCTGTCTCCAGCATCGTTTGTTTCCCTTCCTCCATGGTATTGTTGTAAAACTCCAGCAATTTCAATTTGGGGTTTTCAGGGAGATCCTTGCTCCAGCATCTAGCCACCCCTCAGAGTATAAACAGCTTCAATGGTAATTAAAGCGCCCATCCTCGCCCTCCTCCTCCCTGAATCTCCATCATCTCGTTTCCTTTCTTTTTTTTAAAATATATTTTTATTGATGTATAGTCAGTTTACAATATTGTGTCAATTTCTGGTGTACAGCACAATGCTTTGGTCATGTAGGAACATACATATATTTGTTTTCATATTCTTTTTAACCATAAGTTACTACAAGATATTGAATATAGTTCCCCATGCTATACAGTAGAAACTTGTTTATCTGATTTTGTGACACTCCTCTTGTATTTCGAACTGAGAGACACTCTGCTAGATCCGATTCTGTAGGTGTTCTGTGCAATTCAATGGGTTTGTAGATGTAATTCTTGGTGCATTTGTGGGAGAGGGCGAGCTGTGAGTCTCTACCATCTTGGCTCAACCCCCTCTTGTTTTCTTTCTTAATTACCTCATTCAGCAAATATTTATTGAACAGGTCCTCTGCCTACAATAGTTTATCTTCAATAGGATGTGGACATTATCTTTTTTTTTGTCACTCATTTTTGAATTAAAAAAATTTAAAAAAATTAAGGGGGAGGTAATTAGTTTTGTTCATTTATTTATAATGGAGGCACTGGGGACTGAACCCAGTGCTAAGCGGGCACTCTACCACTGAGCTACACCCTCCGCTCCATGGATGATCTGTAGTTCAATTCGGAAGAATCAAAGAGTCCTTCCTCTCACACCCTACGTCCAACCTGTTGGCAAATCCAATCAACTTTACCCTCAGCCTCTGTCCCATCCAAAGCCTCAGAGACCACACTCAGAAAAGCAAAGTCCTGATGGCCTTGGGAGCCACGAAGGGTTCTGAGCAAAATTGTGCATGGACTCAGGTGCTCAGGGCGCCCTCTGGCGGCTACGGGGGACCAGAGGGCCAGGGACAAGTATGGAAGACTGTGCTGGTCCAGGTGGGAGATGGTGGGGGCTGGACGCGGTAGGGCTGTGGAGGGGGTAAGAAGTGGGCGGAGTCAGGATAGAGTCTGCAGATGGAGCCAATAGGACTTGCTGACACCTGGATATCTGTCCTCGGAATGCCTCAATCACGCAGATATTAATATTAATATGAATCCTTACAATCTGATACAGGAACCACTCGTCTGGGGTCTCACAACTGCCTCCATGTTTGTCCTTGTCGGCTGTGGGTACCTGCGGTGTGTAGCCAATGTGCTTTCCTGATTCTCTATGTCAAGGCCAGATGAGCCCAGCCATCGGCCAGTCTGGTGACTCAAAGCCTGAGTTATCAGAGATTTTAATAATAATAAAAGACATAATTGGAAAGAGATCAAAGGGGAACCAGGAACTGACCGTCTTTGCCTCCTTCCCCAAATCTGGCTTCTAGAAGCTCCACAGAACCCACTGAGACTCCTTGAGCTGGCCCCACCCCTACGTTGTAAAGATGGGGAAACTGAGGCTCAGGGAGAGAAGCAGCTTGAAGACCTCCCCTCTGCTTACCGTATTTCCCACTGCTTCCCACCAGGCATGTGAATTTTTATTTTTTATAGTTTTGCTTTTTTGGATTTGTTTTTGTTTTTGGGGGGGTAATTAGGTTTAGCTATTTATTTTTAAATTATTATTTTTAATGGAGGTACTGGGGATGGAGCCCAGTACCTCGTGCATGCTAAGCACGCACGCTACCACTGAGCGCTACCCTTCCCCCAGGCATGTGGATTTTATCAGAAACATGAGGCAGCATATGTTGATATTTTCCCGTGGCCCCCACCAACCTGTCATCTGTCATCCCTTCAGTCTCATCACCTCTCCCTGCAGTTTGCATGTCTGGGGTTTCTTGGCCTTGCCTCTCCTCCCCCTTCCTGCCTTGTTCGGTCCCCCTCCTGTCCTCCTCTCCATCTGCCCCTGCTGTCTGCACACACTGCCTTCGCCTCACCCGCAGGTCCCCTCTTAGGCCTCCCGGACTCCCAGAAAGGGCTGAGCCTGAAGTGGGGCTCCAACTAGCAGCTCCTAAGAATACTCCACTGCCAGCATCTTGGACCACATGCAGGAAAGCAACACATGGAAGAAATAAAACACTCCCCCTTGCCCCGAGGCCTGAGTTCTTGCAAACTGGAGGGGCCATGGTGGCCTTGGGGTGGGGTGGGAGGACATCCAGCGAGTTCCCAGCCTCCCTCTGCCCTGCTCTGTGTCTTCCAGTGTTTCTTGTTCATGGTCATCATTCTCATCGTGGAAATCACAGTCGCCACAGTGGTCCTTGCCTTCTTCCCGATTGTTAAGTACAGCACAGCTTCTCCCACTCCGCATTAGAAATCCACAGAATTAATAGAAACCCTGGCCCCCCCCCAGGCACCCACGCTCGCTGAGATCCGGTGATGGCGGTAGACTGGGCCTCCAGAGATGGGCCCCAAAACCTCAGCCTTCTTCTTAAAGGCTCCCCTCAAGAACCCTGTCGAGTTAATTTGACCAGCTCTCCTGCATTCGGGGAGAGGCTGAGGGAGTAATGGGAACAGCTGTAAAAGTTGTTGGGGTTTTGAAATGTATTCAAAATAGAGGGTTATTTAGCAAAATCCATCAAAATGACAAAGCAAGGACCCTGTGGCCCAACTGTCTGGTCTCTAGGAATTAACCAAGGATTTGCTTGTTTGCACGAAGAATGACATACATACCAGAGTGTGCAAAAGATTGCTGCCAGCCTAGGGAGCTTCAGTGGTGGAGAGGGTTTAATGTATAATAATCCACATAAGCAAAGCCGACACAGATGGAAAGAAGGAGGCTCTATATACAGGAGACGGTCCATTTTCCAGGACATAGTGTTGTCCTCGTTTGTGTCCCCACAGAGGCCCACCCTGAGACAAAGATTTGAAGGCTTGTGGTTTATTTGACAGGTGATTCCCAAGAAGCACCTGTCAGGACTGGGGCAGTGAGGCAGGGAAGGGCACGTAGCCCTTAAAAGCTGACACTATGGGCAACTGGGCTCAGTGCTCAGTCCTGTCCGGGGATGTCTGGGATGCAGCGAGGAGCACGCACCTATTTTCTGCATCCCAGGGACGAGGGAGCCGCAGTATTGATCCGCCGCCTCCCATTAGTCATTGCTTGCGGGCTGCTCCCAGGGCGCATGCGTGCTGAGAAGCCGCAGAGAGAACTTCGGTTGCTGGCGGGGAACGTGCACAGAAATGAAAGAAGCCACCAGGATTTGAGCAAGGGCACTGCTACTCTTGGTGAGAACAGCCCCGTGCAGAACCATGAGAGTAGTATAAAGCAAGGCGAACCATACTGAGAATATACTTTGCTTTGACACACATAGCAGGTCTCTTTTGGGGACACAGGAAACAGTAACAGTCGTGGCGGTGGAGTGGGAGAAACTTGTTGGCTGGGAGGAAAAGGTGGGAGGGAGACTTTTCATGGTCTACCCTTCTGTGCTTTGTGAATTTTGAACCATGTGACTATTTCACCTCATTGGAAAAACAGTTTGTTTTAATTTAGGTCTCTATTTAAAATATAGAAAATTAAAGTTGCCCTTTTTGTGCAGAGAGAGATTCAGTTGCTAAAGATGATATTCAAGTCTTTAATCGCGTTACAGCCAAATCCGGGGTGGGGCGTAGCAGGCGTGTGGGCGACTCGAAAGAGCAGATGATTCAAACTCGTTTGTGAGGGTGGGTACACCCAGATGCGCTGGGCTCGAGACCCACGCTCATCCCTGTGTCCTTTTCTCCGGGCAATGGAAGCCTGAGTTCGTCCTCCTCCGGCGCAGACCCAGGGCTGGGGGGAGGGGCCGTGAAGGAAGCAGAAGGGAAGTCCCCGCTCCCCAACCCCAGGTCCCCAGAAACTTCACTCAGTGGAGCACCTAGGTGTCTTCTGTGTTCACCATTTTCCGTTTCATCTTTGAGGTTCACAAAGCGGCCTTCGTGACACTGAGGAAGAACTACAGAAGTGACAACGAGCCACATGAACTATTCCATGGAATGGACTTTGGTCACGGAGAAGGTGAGAGTCACATGTTTGTTTTTATTGTGGTAAGAGAGACATAACCCAAGTTGACCATCTTAACCATTTTGAAGTGTCCAGTTTCGTGGCATTAAGTGTGTTCCGTGGTTGTGCAACCATCCTCGGAACTGAAACTCTGTCCCCATTAAACACTAACACTCCTTCCCTCTCCCTGAGTCCCGGGCACCCACGGTCCTGTGTTCTACCAGTTTCTAGGAATTTGACTCCTCTGGGGACCTCCTATAAGTGGAATCAGATAGTATTTGCCTTTTTGTGTCTGGCTTATTTCACTGAGCATCATGTCCTCAAGGTTCGTCCAGGTTGTAGCATGTGTCCAAATTTCCTTCCTGTTTAGGGCTGAATTAATATTCCATTGTATGGAGACACCACATTTTATTTATCCAGTCCTCTGTCGATGGGCACTTGGGTGGCTTCCACCTTTTGGCTACTGTGAATCATGCTGCTATGAACATGGGTGTACAGACAGTCATCCGATAGAAATGCTGTGTAATTCTTTGAGTGGCCGTGCCCTGCCCCCTTCCTTCCTGTCTCATTCTTCTCTCTTTTTGTTTTTTAGTAGAAATACTGGGGATTAAACCCAGGACCTCATGCATGCAAAGCATGTGCTCTACCACTGAGCTATAAGCTCTCCCCTCCTCTCTGTTTCTTCAACACACTTAGTAAGCTTCAGCCTCAGGGCCTTTTGACAGCTAGTTCCCTCTTTTTGGAATGCTGTTCCCTCTTTTTGGAATGCTGTTCCCTCTTTTGGAATGCTGTTCCCTCAAATATCTACATAGCTCCCTCCCTCACTTCATTCAGGTCTCTGTTCAGATGTCCCTCCCCAGGAAAGCCTGCCCTGCCCTCTCTTTCCAAGTTATCCTCAACCCCTGTATCGGTCAGGCTGGGCTAAGTGATGCATTTAACACCAAGATGGTGGACGATTCAGCTCCCAGTAGACCTTGAGGCCCAAGATGGTGGGAAATTTAACTCCCAGTAGACCTTGAGCTTCAGTACATGCTCCTTGTAATATATTAAGATGGTAAATGGCACTCCCACAGGCACCATAACAGTTCCGAGGCTGACCATAAATGGCCGAAAAGCGAGCGGTGGCCCAGTTCCTAGGAATGCCAGCCCCTTCCCCAAAGTAGTTGGAATAATCTTCCCACTTATTAGCATATGAAGCTACCGAGCTCATAAAAACCAACAACCCCTACACCTTGTGGCCACTCTCCCTTCTGAGTGAGATGGGCCACAATCTGTTTACGGACGGTGTATCTACTTTTACTTTAAACTGAGCACCGAGCACTGCACCTCGTGGCCTTTGTCTCGCCTTCGGAGACAGCCTGCTCTCTGTCTACAGAGTATGTATCTCTCTGAATTAATGTGCTTTTACTCAACTGTGGCTCACTCTTGAATTCTTTCCTGTGCAAAGCCAAGGACCCACACTTGGTGGGGCATGTCCCAGGGACTCAGCCGAGACCTGGGACATGGCCATCCTCTTACTCAACATTTTTCCTGTATCAAGACCAGCGTGGCTGGAGCTGAGTGAGTTAAAGGGAAGAGAGGGGAGATGAGGGCCCAGAGGTGACAGGGCAGATCGTGCAGTGCCTTGCGGGTGATGGTGAGGGGTTCAACTTTTACCCCAAATAAGATGGAGCCATGATGGGGTGGTGAAAGGGAGGCATTTAGCACAGGCTCTGGAACGTGGTGACTGCTCTAATAGTAGCCATGTGACCATGATTTCTATTGTTTTCAATTATTTTGATCATTGAAAGGGAGTCTTCAGGTGTTTATTCTCCTCACTGCAGCTAAAGTGCTGTGGAGTGAGGAACTTTTGAAAGGACACTGGCCACACCTACCCCAGGAGCTGCTGTAAATCCATTGAGGCCGTGGCCTGTGATGGGCGCAATGTGTCCACAGATGTCATCCACCAGAAAGTAACTTGAGATTTTGTTGCGCGTCACCTGGGTAGACCCTGAGGGCTGGTGACTTCTACAAAAATTGCATTTTGGCAGGAATGCCAGTGATTTCAACCACAATTTCAGCTCATTTCGACCACACAACCTAAAGTTACTACCCCCATTTCACAGATGGTGAAACTGAGGCCTGGGGAGGGGATTGGTTCAAGGTCACGTGGCTTTGGTTGAGCTTGAATTTGGATCCGTGTTGGCCTGCGTCCATTGCCAGGGCCACACTGCCTCCTCACCAAGATATTAAACTGTAGCAATTATAATGGAAAACAATCGTTCTAACCATAGTGACAGCTGCCATGTGACTGGGCACTCCTGCTGTGAATTCAGTCTCCATTGCACCCCTTGAAGTGGGGACTGCCCTTCTCCCATTTTATAGATGAGGAGACTGAGGCACCGAGAGGTTCCCATGGCCAGAGAGAGGTGGAGCTGGGCTTCAAACCCCATCCCTAGCTTCCAAACCCCTAACTTCTGCTGCTGGTGAATGAACACAAGGGTCTCCACATGAGGGAAGAAATAAGAGTCATTTCTTAATTCATCCCTTCATATTGAATGGCTCCTGCTGGGTGCCAGGCCAGAGCCTCAGAGATGGACATGGTGCTACACACTGGCTCACTGTGCCTGCACAGCCTGCCTGTCAGCTCCTGACCTCCTCTCCCACTCACCCCATCACTCATTCCACTCCAGCCACACTGGCCTCCTCGCTGCTGCACAGATAGACCAGGCACATGCTTGCCTCAGGGCCTTTGCACAGGCTATTCTTTCTTCCAGGAATGCTCTTCCTCTAAATGTTTTCCTACCTCACCCCTTTCAAGCCTGTGTACAATTGTCAGGCTGTTCCTGACCCCCTATTTATAAAAGGACACTGCCCCAGTCACCATCACACTCTTGTCTTCTTACCCTGCCTCAGGGTCTGCCCAGCACTTAATCACCACCTGACAATGTGATTACTGTACTTGCGTATTACCTGTTTTTTCCCCTCAACCCCATCAAGGCGGAAATGTCTATTTTGTATGTTGCTGGGTCTCCAGCGCCCAGTCTAGTGCCCAGCACACAGCGAGCACTTAATAAATGCCTATTAAATAAAAGGGGGACACTGACCCTTTGAGCTCAAGGCCAGTCAAGCTTCCAGAAGAAAGAGGAGCATCTCAGCGACCACAGGAAGGGAAGCGGGGGCCCATCCCCTGCAAGTGGCTGGCTGTTCTGCCCATTCACTGTCTGGTCTGTTGATCTCTCTAAACCTTAGTCTCTTCACCTGTAAAACAGAGAAAAGACTAGTGCCCACCTTATGGGGGGTATAGTGAGAAAATACATGTAAATGGCTGAGAAGGTGGTGGATGCAGGTTAGCCCTTCTGTTCATATGTAAAGAGCTCTCGGAAATGACAGTTCCTGAATGCCGACTACGGGTCAGGCCACTGCTGTAGGTTCTGTCTTAAACCTCACAAAAATCTTGTGAGGCAGATCCTACTGGTCTGTTTACACTTGGGGAAACTGAGGCACAGAGAGGTGTGGTGATTTCTCCAAGGTCACACAGCTAGCCTGGGACACAGCTTGGGACATCTGGTCCTGCTCTTAATCACCATACTAGGATGTTAGCACAAATGGACACTGGGGAGGAAGTGGTATGTTCTGGAGTGGGGTTAGGGAATGAGGAGGCCAGGGAAGATGTTGGGGTGGGGGAAGCAGTCCAGCAAGAACGAGCCAAGGTCCTTGTCACTGTGTCCCTTTCTCTTCCCTGAATCTGAGAGGAATGTTGGTAGTCTGCCTGGCGGGGGGTTGATGGGGACTTGGAATCCACAAGTCCCTGACCAGGTCCTGCTTACTCTGATGTTTGTATGCACAGGGCTGTTCCCCTAAGCTCCTGGAAATAACCAAGACTCAGAGCATCAACCTGAGTGGGGTCTCCCTGGGGGCAGCAGCAGTGCAGGTATGGCCCAGCTCCTCTGGGACACACTGAGCTCTTTAATCGAGCCCCTACTTACTGTGTGCGCAGCACTGCTCGGGACACTGGGGACACAGCAGTGATAAAAGACAAAATGCCTGCCATGGCGGAGCTGACATGGTGGCGATGGATGATTATTTGGTTTAAGATACCTGCCGGGAAGGAAGTAAAAGAGGGTGATGAGATAGGGAAAGGAATCAGGGATGGCCTCCCTGAGGAGGTGAGGAAAAGCCATGTGTGTGTGTATGGGAGAAGACAGAGGGAAGAGCTGGTGCAAAGGCCCTCAGGTTGGCTTTTTCAAGGATCAGCAAGGAGGCCTTTATGACTGGAGCAGGGTGGATGAGGAGAGTGGTACGGGGAGATGAGGGCAAGACCTTGTGGGCTACAGAGAGGGGTTTGGTTTTTATTCTGAGTATGATGGAAAGCCGTTAGAAGGGTTTAATTTTTAAAATTATTTTTATTTTCAAAAATTTTTGCGGGGGAGGTGATTAGGTTTATTCATTTACTCTTAGAGGAGGTACTGGGGATTGAACCCAGGACCTAATGCATGCTAAGCATGCACTCTACCACTTGAACTATACCCTACTCCCGCCAGAAATTTTAAAATATAACAAAACAGAAACAGAGTCATAGATACAGAGAACAAAGAGGCAGTTGCCAGTGGGGAGGGTTGTGAGGGGAAGAGAGGAAGAGGTGAGGGAGATTAAGAGGTACAAACTTCCAGTTGCAAAATAAATGGCTCAGGGGTATGAAATGTACAGTGTGGGGAATATAGTCAGTAACTGTGTAATATCTTTGTAATGATGGTCATTAGACTTATCGTGGTGATGATTTTGAAATGGATAGAAATGGCGAATCACTATGCTGTGTAATAGGAACTAAAATGGTGTTGTAGGACAGTTATACGTCAAATACAAACAAACAAAATCACAGGAAAAGAGATCAGATTCATGGCCACCAACGGCAGGGCATGGGGGGAAGAGGGAACTGGATAAAGACAGTCAAAAAGTACAAACTCCCAGTTATAAGATAAAAAGTACTAGGAATACAATGTGGATGATAAATAGAATTAACACTGCTGTATGTTATGTAGGAAAGTTGCTAAGAGAGTAAATCCTAAGAGTTCACATCAGGAAAAAAATTTTTTTCTTTAATTTTGTATCTATGAGATGACGGATGTTCACTAAACTTATTTGGTAATCATTTCCCGATGTGTGTAAGTCAAATCATTATGTTATACACCTTACATTTATAGAGAGCTGCATGTCAATTACATCTCAATAAAACTGGAAGAAAAAAAAGAACCGTTTTTACTCACAGCACTTCTGACACCAAATGCATGGGGGTTTTCCACACCACTTCTCTGCGGGCACCACCTGGGTGCCCTACAGTTCAATTCCAACCCTACTTAGACTCTACAGGCTAAGGGCTCAGTCCCACAAGACCGCCCTCCACCTCAGATGCCGGTCACCAGTATTGGGTCCCCAGAGTACCTGTTACGAAGTCCAAGTTCGTACTGCTCACTGCACAACAGGCCAATAAATCGAGAGACAAGTTGTTGGGGCGGGGGAGCAACCCTATTTGGAAAGCCAGCAGACCGGGAAGATGGTGGACCAGTGCCTCCAAAGAGCCATCTTGCCGGCGTTAGAATTCAGGCTTCTTTTATACTGAAAGGGGTGGGAGTAAAGCCAAGCATTTCCGGTTCCTGTTGGGCTCGGGGTTGTCCATTTCTTCCTGCCTTCAGTCATTCATTCACAGGTGGGCCTGGTCACAATGTTTCCTGTGAGCTAAAAAGGCATTTTCGCTTAATGGTCATTACCTGGGAGGCAGGATTCCCAGAGATGGGCTTATAGGCAATGTCCCTTTAGTGATTAACCAGCAAGAGAATACAAAGGTTAAAGTAAAAGAAACATGGGACAGAGTCAGGTTTGTTCTTGCCTCTGACATGCCATACTCCTCTCTGACTTGGCTACAAAATCAGAGGGCCCCTGTAATCCCCCCTCCCTTTCAGGTTTGATAACTAGAGTAATTCACAGAACTTAGGAAAGTGATTTACTTACAGTTACTAAGGATGTAACTCAGAGGGGAGAGATGTACAGGGCAAGGTATGGGGAAGGGGCCCTGAGTTTCCATGCCCGCTTTGGGCGTGCCACCCTCCCTCAGTGTGTTCACCAAACGGGAATCTCACCGAACCTTGTTGTTCAGGGTTTTTATGGAGATTTCATCATGTGAGCACGGTTGATTAAATCACCAACAGCTGGTGATTGACTCGATCTCCAGCCCCTCTTTCCTCCCTGGACCCTCACTCCCAGGAGCTGGGGTTGATAGTTTCAACCCTCTAATCATGGTTTGGTCTTTCTGGTGGCCAGCTTCCATCCTGAAGCTTCCCAGGGGCCCCCAGCCTAGGCTGTCTTCTCATTTGTATACAAAAGACACTCTTATCACTCCGGAGATTCCAAGCGTTTTAGGAGCTGTGTGCCAAGAAAAACCAGGACCAAAATCCAACTATTTCTTTTCTGTTGTATCAGACAGGAAAGAGCTGGATGTGGCCACAAAAATTTTTTAAATCCATGCATTTGAGGTGCTGATATTATAGTGAAGAAACACTTGTTTAAGTTAAACAAGATGGGAGGGTATAGCTCACTGGTAGAGCACATCCCTAGCACACATGAGGTCCTGGGTTCAATCCCCAGTACCTCCATTAAAAAAAAAAAGTAAACCGAATTACCTCCCCCCAGAAAATAAATAAACATAAAAAAATTAAGTTAAGCAAGTAAATTACATAGTATTTTAGACACTAGGGGCTATGGGGAGGAGGACACATAGAAAGGGACATCAGAAATGCTGGGGAGGGGTTGCAGCACTAATCAGGGGGGTGGGGAGGGAGATGAGTCAACAAGAAGGTGAGATTTGCACAAAAGGCATGAGGGGAGCCATGTGACTCCAGGCTGAGGGAACAGCCAGTGCAAAGGCCCTGAGGCAGGAGCCTGGTGTGTTCAAAGCAGCAAGGAGGAGCAGAGCAAGTGTAGGGGGCAAGTGGGAAGAGTGACAGGGAGAGCAGTGAGGTGACAGGTCAGATCATGCAGGGCCTTTTGGGTCACAGAGTCAGGTAGGAGCCATGGAGGGTTCCGAACTGACAAGGGACCTGACCTGGCTCAGGTATTCACTGGTGCCCTCTGGCTGCTGTGGGGACCAAACTTCTTGCCAGAATTGGTTGAGGAAACATCAACTTCCTTGCCCTCACGCACTGAAACTTTCCAGGGTCAAGGTGGTGGCCATGAGGCCCAGCTAGAGGCAGCTCCACATCTGAGGCTCCCTGGCCTGATCCGGGTTCTACTATATGACACACGGCCCTTGACCAACCACCTGCTTGGCTGTGTTTCAACCATCCTCTTCCTGGAAACTGCATTTCACTATTGGAAATAAAAGAACCACCACATCTAGACATAATGACTTTAATTTTCCTTTTCTTTTGTGGAGAAAAATGCACACCTTTCTTGAGTGGACATCAAGGAATGGCTTATATGGGAGAACCACATCCAGGATATAAATGACCAGGTCCAAAGCTTGAGCCATAGAGTATTTTGGGATCATTGGGAAGAAGCCAATTAGCAGAATCAGTGCTTCAACAGAGAGACCAAAATGTTCACCCCTTACTTATTTTTTTTTGGTTGAGTAGGAGAGAAACCTACAAGAACGTGGTCCCTGGAGAAGCCAAAGAAAGAAAAAAGAAAGAAAGAAAGAAAAAAAAACTAGAAACCCAAACCCAAAATAGCAGTCATAGCAATTTCCCACTGAAACTGCCTATGGAAAGACAAGTTCCTGAAAGCAGGTGATAAGAAGGCACAGCGTGGATGCAGGAAACAGCCTCAAGTCACCTCCCCAGATCCCAGCCTCCCTGGAGTTGGGAAGTCGTTTTCCCACAGCCTTTGGCTTAATTTTTGTTTGTAAACTCAACACACTTCCATCCCCTGCAGTGATCTTCATGTATGTTTCAGTTTCCCAGAGACCATCAGGAGTGAGACCTCCCCTTCAAACATCGTAAAATAAAAACTTGCATTATTTTTAGAGGAAACAACAAAAAAAATTCTTCTACATCATTCCCAGTCTTGAGAGAACACAGAGGCAGCTGTCTCAGTCGCTACTTGAAGCTGAACTACTGAAAAATCTTATGTAAACAAACGTTAGGCCAGGTCAGGGACGAGATGCCGCCAAAGCTGTGTTTTATCACATGGGAAAAGTCAGCTTGTCCCTCAGATAATGGCACTTTGACCTGCTATATTTTTTCTGGCTGTAGTCTGTTGGCCAGTCCAACAGAATCTTGACAGGCGGTGGTGCATCTTAAGAAGCCGTTTTATAGTTGCTTTAATTTCTCCCTTATGTTAAAGCAACTAACATGTTTGACTCCCACCTCAAAGCTTCAGGTACCCTCACCTGATGCATTTCCAGGAACTTGTCCCTCCCACCACAGTCGTCTAACTTGGTAGACAAATATCCCCACTTTGAAGCTCTTAAGAACAGCCCCCAGTATGGGGTGAACGGAGCCCTGTAGACATAAACTCAATCTTCAGCTTCTATAAGGAGCTATGTTGAACTTGAACCAGATCTTCCCCATTCCTGGGAGGAGGTTGAGTTCTTCAAGTATACGGGAAGTTGTTTTGGAGGCGGAGGCTGGGAGGCTGCCAACGGGAACACAAATCATTCGCTTTGGCCGTCCGCACAGTGTCAGGTCCTGGAGTGTTAGTGTTGCAGGGCAGATAGAGGTGGCATGCTACCAGAATTTGGACTCTGGTGGGTAGAAAGAGCTGCTGAGTTGGGTGGGGGGCGGGGAGGCATCAAGATACAGATCTCCAAACTGCGCATCACTTCCCAGCAGGGGCCCCTGGCAGCTGAGGACCCCAGCTGGGCCAGTTCCCTGCTGATGCCTCCACCTGGGAGACCGGTTCCCCGCCCATACCCCATCAGCGCGCCACTCCCAAGGTGTATGGCCTAGTGCAAGCAGCAACAGCCATCAACCAACCCTGCCTCGTCGCCTCTCCAGCCCAACCCCAAAGCATTCCTTAGATGACTCCTCCATGAGCAGAAAACATCACTGGACCCTTGCGGTGACATGGCTCGGGAAGCCAACTGTGGGTGGTTGAGGGTTTTCAAGTCGGAGGAGCCAAAGTCCTCACATCGGAAAAGCTGTCCCGGCAGCTCAAGCTACAGGAACGTTACTCAATTTCCTTTTCTAGCAGGATGTCAGATGTGGAAAGACCTTGCTTAAAACATTACCAGGCAAAGAAGGCTGGGGCGGGGGCAGTGGGGTGGCAGGTCTGGGTAGGAGAGCCCCACGCTCCTGGCTCCTGAGTTAACTCCTGGTAAAAAGCCCCCAGCAGGAACGCCAGGGGTTGAGTGATTCTCTGCCTGGCCCGATGCAGCCCATAGTTCCAAAATCCCATTCTGGATCAGGGATCCAGTGGATAAGGTGAAACAGTGGCAGGGACATGAGTGATGTGGAATTCTGGGGAAGCTCAGAAGGCACTTTGGGGTCCCTGAAGCT